AGAGCGAAATTGCTGTATGTCCAGATTTCAGGATAAGAAATAGATTGGATGTGCTGCTGATGGGGTTTTGAAAAAATCACTGCACTTGCTGCAGGGAATGTCCGTAGGAAGATTGTCTTACATACATTACAGTAATGTTACAGCTGAGACTGTTTCTTAATGAGTCTAGTGTCATGTATATATTAACATGTACAGTTAAGTCTGGCCCTTATGGGATTTGAGTGGCTTTGTTAAGATAATGGGTAGACTGAGTTGTGTATTAAGGGATTAGATTGACTTTAATGAGTTAATGTACATGGCTATTCTACCTTCTGTGGGAGGACAGCATCCTTCTTTTGGGAAGTGGGCAACAAGTTCACATTTATGGGGTGAGAACCAAGTTAATTTTATATATGTTGTGTTATGGCAGTGTCTTCTTTCTGTCTGCCTGGGATTCAAATACCTATTGTAAGGTAATGCTGAAAATATATTGCATCAGGGAAAAAATATACTATATGTTGTTATATTCATTATTTTTAGGAGTCCACTTGTGATCATACAAAGCAAGCATTATTCATTTTATGTTGTTCATTATTTCGTTTCAACACCTTCACATGAACCCCTTTAAGAGCTGCAAGTTTCCACTTTGTACTACAATAGTAATATCCCGGAAAACTAACATAAAACACAATGCGGAACTGAAAAAAAGTAATAGATTAGGAGATAGCGGCACAGTCCCATGTGCCAACATTAGTAAAACTACAGTATTTCCAACACTTTTGAGCAATATGATTCGTAAAACACTCAAGAGGAATGAGAAGGACTTGCCCAGGCATGAGATCATACTGATTTTGAACACTTTGTTCCATATTGATAAATACTCTTGCCATCTTATCAATTTGCACATGAGGCCTTCAGCTGACAGATTGGATCGTGAGCTGAAGCGACTGGCAGTCTCGTAATGTCGAGATGGTATTGAATCTGTCACAGCAGGCTCTTGGCTCTATTGAGTGATACTGTTTCCAGATCCCTTTAATTTGTTTATTGACGCATGTGGTGCCCCTGGCCCCTCTCATTCTATCCAAAGGCTCCACTTTTCCTTGGACCTCTATAAGTCTAGCTGGGGTTCAGTAGGCCTGTGACGTGCACAGGGGCTGCCAGAGGAAAGCCTTCTCGTTTTGTCCTTCTTTGATGCGTGAGACGGTATATACAGTAACATCCCATTTTCCTGTGTTTTTTTGGGGGGGGTTCTCCCAGCACCATACTCTACAGGTGTCCCCAGTTTCTGTTCTTCCATTCCCCGCTAATTTTGCTTAAATTCAAAAGTTTAATAAGGTCTTTTACATTGTTGCCATCGTATTTAGGTTTTTAGCAAATCTATAAAAACAAGAATACAAAACACAGAGCTCACATGATGAAAAAAGTGGGATAAACAGGTTCTTGGGAAAAGGCCCCTGACCAGACTGTCACAGTTGTGCACTAGCAGAATGTAGTTAGACACATTCCATAAGGGCAACTTCTGTAAAAGAATGTAACCAAGTGTGATCTGAGGTTATCTCAGTCTCCACCCAACCTTCCAATACAGTGTTTCTAGCTCCAGGTAGGCCCACAAGCAAAAGTTGTCAAAACTAAAGACTTGAAAGTAATTTGGGAGTCATAACTGTGAAGGTTGCACTGGTGACTCAAGCTGGCCATTCATTTAGTAACACATACTGTATGCAAGCACATTTCTAAAAATGCTCTTTTATGGCACACTTTCAATGGTGTATACCAGAAGGTACCTTCTGGAATGGGAGCCTGATAATCCATGAAAAATTGATAAATCTCATTTCTAATTTCAGCTAGCAGATTAGATGGTATGCAAAAATAAGCTTTCAAGGTGGTCAGGCAAACAGAATGACACATTTTGGCTTTGGACATAATAGCTGCAGTCTTTTACTGGCCATGTGCTTCTCGGTTCAATGCATTCCAAAAGCAAAAATTATTAGAAAAATGAGAAATAACACAAAACACTGGGGTGACACAGAGATTCATAGCTTTACAGTAGACCTCTGTGAAGCAGCCTCTTCTGAATTGGTGATTATAAAAGGCAGCACATCTATTATTGGTGGTCAATGAGCCTAGAAGAGAATGCATTGTTGGCTAGCTTTCATTAAGACAGTGCATGTGGCTGTTAGGGATTGGGTGACTTGTTGAGGTGCTACACAGTAAGAGAGGACATGTTCCCTCTCCTCCAGTCCTATTGTACATTTGAGTGTCTTTTTCCGAGCTCCAGTGAGGCAGCCCGTAGTTTGCAGCTGTGATTCATGATTGTTTTATTGCGAGTTTACTGATGTTGGAGCAGATTTGGCTGATCCAGATGGAGAGGTGGATGGTTTTTCTATGTAATTTATATGCAAGTCCTTGGTTTGTAACAATGGGTTGCACCAGTGAAGATTGGTAGTGAAAGGAATTGTGTGCATTCAGCAGTTCTGTCAGAAATGCTATGTACCTGATAAATTCTAGGAAGATGGGAGAGCAGCAGAGCAGTGAAAAACGGAAAGGACATTATTTTGCCTGTCATTAGGTCTCTGATATAAATTAGCTATTTTTTAACAGGAGCGTACAAAATCATGGCTTTGTACTAAACTGTGTTTCATGTTTTGTTTAGCTTTGACTATTCAGGAGCTGTGTTTCAGTATGCTGAAGAAGCAGTTTTTTTCATCTCAAAAGCCAATGGGTACACAGTTGGACGCTGATATTTGTAATTGGTGACTCAGTACATTTTAAATTTTGGTAACATACTGTAATTTTATGTTTTATTGCCTAGGCATCTGCTTATACAACATTAATTTATTCTACTTCCTAATTTGCAATATTGAAGTATTTTCAAAGGTACTTACAGACAACATAAAAAGAAAAGGCAGATCAAGTGCTTTAATCTATACAAGACTGAAACAAATGCTACTTTCATTTGAAAGTTTGTCATATTGTACAGTAAATGGTCACCCACACCGTATTTAACCATTTCTTGTCTTCATTGTCAAGGCTTTCTCCTGTTAGATACAGTGTCCAAACCCCTGAGAGACCTGCCTATCAACTATTAACTATTTATTGTCTTAATTCATCCTGGCAATGTTTTTCTTTCTGTCTTTAAACCTCAGCAGTAGAGATTAGCTACCCTCCTATTGAGTTACATGCATCCAGAGCTCCCACAATCACTGTGGCTATGGCTACAGATTCTCATAAAGATAATACAGTGTTGGATTAAGAGCCTTTTAATGTTTGTATATGGGAGTCTATAAAGATATCAAACAAAATTGAGCTTTTTTTTTTCTCTTGAGTCTTTTCTGTATTAAACAAGATAAGGAATAGAAGAAATGTACTTCACAAGGAGGCTGTGAATGGCTAAGGGAAATAAGTCATAAAGGCGAAACTGGCTCAGAGCTCTATGTCTTGAGTGAGATGGGTGGCTTCATTCTTGTTATAGATGAGCTTATAATGGCCACAAAAATGTCTTTCCACTGCCAGATTAATTAGACAATTAAGACTGCTCAACCCTAACTGTGCACCAGGCAGTGTGTGTTCTCCACTGTACCCTGAGAGGCGCCCCCTCTCCTCCCCTCTCCACAGGCTGCTCTTCATGCCTGTGTGAGAGTGTGTGTGGGTTGTGCCTGAGACATCCGCCAGCCTGCTGGCTCTGCGCCTTCTTCGGCTGGAGCGCACTTCCTGACGCAACACAGACCTGCCACATCGACTCCCAAACACTATGCTCTTTCATTTCAAGTGATGCTTCACTGGAATCCTCCTTTTCTTCACCATTAAAAACAGTAGCAAGGTCCGACACCTTCAGCACAACAAGGATAAAGACCAAAACAGGGCTTTTGACAGGTACCACAAAACATGACTGTAATAAGTTTAGTATAACCAGCACAGCAAAAGGGGAAAATTGAATTAACCCAGATCAAAATAAAATGGTCACTGGTGAGGTCATTGTCACCTCTAAGAAATTGTTGCCACTGTTCATGAGTGGTACTGTATACACATCCTGCTCTCTGCCTTCAGACTCCAAGCAGGACATTTCCCAACTGCTAGGAAAACCAATGTACAGAGTAAATGTTTTGTCTTACATTTGGTATATTTATACAAGAAATTGTGAGTACTGGGTCATGAGAAATTCTAAGCCAGAATTTTGGACAGTATATTGTTGTATTATTAATTATTGTGTGAATTAATTAATTCAAATATCGTACACATTTATAGAGCTTTTGTCCTATCCCCCCCTCCCTCCCACTCCCAGTCTCAATGAGTGTTTTAATTCATGCATGTGTTTTTAGGAAAAAAGATAAAGGATAATACTTTGCTTTAGTAAATGTACATTGCACTTCATACTGTAAGTGTATAACAAACAAGTTGTTAACATTAAATAAAGTATTTATAAATGCTAAATATCTTCACTTAGAACTGTACAATTAATCATTAGTAAGTGTATCTTTCTACCAGGTTAACTGTTTTCTGTATTACTGGTGATTAGTTTATGTACAGAGATACTTCACCTACACGTAAGTGTGGCAATAATCACAAATTTAAAATTAAATTTTCAGTCACAGATGCATAATACAACAGAACATATTTAAAAGACATGGGGCTGGATATAAAGACAGAAGATGCTAAAGTTAGTTTGTAGCAATAGATTTTCAACCAGTGTATACAATTGCTAGACTCTATTGCCAGAACTGAGAAGCTTTAAAATGAAAATTTGTTTGAAAAAAACACACTCTCCTGTAATATCTCCACTCTAGGTTAGTAACAAGAGTTACTTGTGTAGCTCTTTACAGACTAAAATTAAAGCACTAGAAAAAATCCTCATCCAGATTAATGAGTAGTTTGCCATTGCACTGTTGTTCAAGCCTCAATGACAGATGTCACCCTTAATCCCACAGGAGATTCTGACAGTGTTAACATTTACTTCCCAGACAGTTTCTGCATGCTTTCACTGACACAGACACATGCAGTTGTTTCTGAGCAATAACAAGACAACATTTACCTTAAGGGTCAAAGCAGAATGATTTATTAAGTGATTAAGAAGGGGGAAGATTAGGAAAATAGTATTCCAACAAGGAAAGCTTTCTTCTGTATTTCCTCTTCTTCTTGCTTTTCTGTGTTTTCTGCAGTTGAATTTTCCTTAGCTCACAGAATCTTTAAGTCAAGTGATGCAGAGTTTACTGAAATGTAATTTTCCGTATTGGCCAAGAGATCAAGTTAATAATCAGGCCTTTCCGTCAATGTTGTTGTAGTCCCAGCTGCATACAGATGAAGTCTTCTGTAGTCCCATGGTAGATTGCAGATCTTAACTTTGTTTTTTTGTCTTCAGTTCATGATATTGGGACTCAAACTACAGTATAAGTATTTTATTTTTGTCTATTGTTTTCAAAGGTAGTCTACATGGTGACCTAATCAAGGATTCAGATGGAGATACTTTATAGTAGTTGTCTGCTTATAAACACCTGAGATGTTACTGGCTCAATCGGACATCAGGTTTGCATTAGGTAGTCCTTAATTGTTTATCATTTAAGGGTTAATTGTTATAACAAGGCATCAGTAGTTATTGTTCACTACAGCCCTAAGCAGTGCTAAAGAAGGTCAGCTCTACCATTTCTTATAAGCACATCTCCTCTAGATCTCCAGTTCTAGTTTCATGCAGTTTAGAAGTCCACAGCCCTGGTTAATAGCCAGCTGAGCTGTTGGTGAAACATTCTTCCTCAGTGAACAAGGTGTCCCAGAGAGGATCCGGTTCCTTCCAGGGCAGGACACAGTGATTTCTGCTCTGAAGCAGATCTGACAGGAAGGAGATGACTGGCTTTTAGGATAGGGGTGCTCACCCCTTAAGCCAAGGGGGATAGTCCCAGGTTTGCTAGGGCACAATGGGGGTGTCGGAGAATACAGAGGTTATAGAGTCAGTATCCCCTCGCAGGTGTTGTATCTTGGGATGCTCCGGCCCCAGCGCCACCCTCAGCCGCCCATTCTGTGCCTCCTTGATGGGCTCCAGGAAGACCACATGTTTGTGCCCACTGGCTTTTCGCCCTGGCCCCTCAGTAGTTGCAGGTGGGGTAGCAGTGAGGATAGAGGACTGGGCACTGCACTCATTGGCAGGACTGGGGGCTGCAGGCAGGTGCTTACGACAGGGGCATCGGCAGGGGGTCAGGTAGAGGTACATGAGCACCAGCACCAGGCTGACCACGCATCCCAGCAGGGTGGTAAGTCCCGTGTTGAAGGACTCGGCATCGTAACGCCTTAGGGCCACAGTCACATTCACTTCCCATGTCTCATTGCGCAGCAACTGGCTGTCTAGAGCCATGCAGACATACACTCCTGAGTCCTCAGCCTGTGCCTCACGGATCTCCAAGCTTCCATTGACAAACATGCGCAGTGTGTTATTATTGCCGGGAGGAGCAATATACTCCTTGTGGGGGGAGACCCACAAATAGGAGAGGTGCTGCCCTTGCAGGGATGTCTGGCAATTCAGCAGCACGTGTTCCCCAACAAAAGCTTTCGTGCTGGCCTCTGGCTCCCCCAGCAGCCCCTGTGCTTTCAGAGTGCAGTTCTCAAAGAAGCGTGTGTGGCGGAAAAAGCGGACTGATGCCCGCCGCTCACCATACACCAGGCAGGTGTGCTCCTCCTGAAAGTCCTTGACTGAGATAAACCCTTTCTGCTCCCAGTGGCGAAACATCCCATACATGCCGCACTCACAGATGAGAGTGTTATTGTGCAGGAAGAGGCCTTTCTGGACCGAGGCCGGGAGGGCCGAAATTTCCTCCAGGGGCAGCTTTGACATGCGGTTGGAGGATAGGTCCAGGGTCGTGAGGAAGGGGTGGCTGTGTTTCTGGATGGAGAAGAAGGGAAAGTCAGTGAGGCGGTTCAGGCTCAGGTAGGCCTTGTGCATGTTGGGGAGGCTGGTCAGCGCCTTGCTCTCCACACGGGTGATGCGGTTGTTGAAAAGGAGGAGCTCTTCCAGGCCCCACAACTCCTGGAAGTAGTACTGCTCCACCACTTGCAGCTCGTTAGATGAGAGATCCAGGTGTCGAAGCCCGCTGGCATTGCGAAAGGCCCCCGGGGCGATCTGTGTCAAGCGGTTGTGGGCCAGCCTCAGGGTATGCAAGCGTGGCAGTCCCAGGAATCCCCCATCTTCTAGGTGGACCATCCGGTTGTGACTGAGATCCAGGGTGGCAGTTGACACGGGCAAGCTGGAGGGCATCCGATCCATGTTTTGGGACACACAGCTCAGGATGTCCGAGGCGCAGAGGCAGGAAAGAGGACAGCTGCTGGCGGAGGCACCCTCCCCAGCCAGATGCAGCAGGAGTAAGCTCAGCAGAAGAGAGCTGGGCAGACCCTGGGAACAAATCATTGCTCCTTCAGGATGCTCCCGGACATGGAGAGAGCAGGCTCAGTCCTGTGCTCTTGGAATATTCTACCACATGAGCGTGATACTGGCGTTCAGTAGTGTTTCAGATGTGGTTGTCTCCTAAAAGTCAAAACAGCAGTCCTCAAAATGTTTTGCTTAGGGTGCCGTAATGGTTTTTTTTTCAGCTGAATTAGACAGTAAGTGTAAATTTACTAATTGATGTTAACTAAGATGTTGAAATTAGAGAAGTAGAGCAGGGCTTCAGGATTACAGAAAGTTGCCCCACCACAAAAATATTATAGTTGGATTTCCTTTGCACCACCAACACTCTAACTGCGATGTACCACTGACTGTGTTGTTGACCATGCTTAAAATTACTTCGTGCTAGAGCCCCATGGTTCTATTGCTTCTTTTAGGAGCTCACTTTGTATACTCTATGTACCCTACCTCAAAAAACTATGGCAGTCTTTTCCTCAGACCGCAGCCCAATTAAGTGTCTTTTTTGTTGCTTTTCAATCATTCCCTAGAATAATAGATTTCAAATATTAAGAACCAGACAGCAATTGCAGGAATTAGGAATCAAGCCACCTGAAACAACTGCCTTAGCCCCATGACCGCAGGTGAAGCCACCTTCACAGTTTATGTGTCCCCCCTGCAGTGACTTACAGTTCTGACGTCCTGTTCAGGGCAGGTTGGCGTTTTAAATCAAAGCAGAGCCAGCTGCAGCAGACTCTGCAAGAAGCACAAGTTGGAGCAAAAAGTCAGCATCCTGTCATTTTGGTTAACACGCACAAATGCACGCGCGTGCATGCAGTCCGAAGAACAACAGTAAGGAGATCCAGTTTTCGGCTGCAGAGCAAGAACAAGAGCTTAATAAAGTGCAGTTTGATCTGGAGTAGGCTGTTTCAGAGAGGGTGCAAGCACAGGCAGTCTTCAATCAGCAAGTCCCCCGCACATCTCGCCATTACGCACCAACACACCCCCTCATTCCAGTTCCAGACATCGAATTCTTAGATTATTAGCTGACTCCAGACAAAAGTCCCTCATATAACTCCGCTAATCACATTCTTCACGCAGTGACTAAAATCGCTCTGCTTCCAAGTACGGGGACTGTATGACTTCTCTTACAGCTCCTGCTGATGTTTTCCCAACTCCGAAGTGCTTACTCGATCTCATCTCTTGTTGAGTCTCTCTGCCTTCCCTTCCCTCTCTCTCTTTCTCTGTCGTTGGCTGTATTGGTCCTCTCTCCCTCTCTCTCACTCTCCTTGTGTTTTGCTCTCTCTCTCACACTCAGCTCTTATTTACAGGCAGGCTCAGAGTTTGAGAGGAGGAGCCTTGTGGTGCATTTGGAATGCAGCGATTGGCCAAAATGGGATAACGAAAGGGAGGACTTTAGCGGTGCCTTTTGGGTGCGTCTTTTTTTCTGTCATTCTTTTATTTATTTATTATTCCAGTTGTTTGTTTCTTCTCAGCGGTGTTCTGTGAATGAGCTGCGGTGACCTGCTAGCTCCACTAGTGGGTGGAATGAACCATAATTATCAGCAAGATCTCCCGGGGAAACAGCTCTGGTGATTTTCCTTTCCTCTCTCTAGACTGTGCTTCCCCCCTGCTCTTTTGTCAAATGTTAATAGAGATGCGTTTCTCATCCACCTCCCTTCTAGTCGGTGCTGCTGACAGAAAATCTGTTTTTGAGGGAGGAAATAAGGTATGAATAGAGAAAATGACATCATACAGTTGTTGTTATTTTAGTGAATTTTCACTCTGTGAAATCAGAAGAGCTTTCCATTTTATCGAGGTGTTTTCACTCTGTCCCTCTCGGGTTAGTTTTAGAGAAGCTCACAATGCTTGGTCTCTAATAACAAACAAAATCAAATAACACTTGAGTTTTGGGGATCAGTCTGGAGGAACAGCCATAAGTAAAACAAATGAAGATTTTTGGGGGGTTTTAGTTGGCCTAAATTGTAAATACTCTATAGAAAGCAATTTAATACATATGGTGTCAAAAAGCTGTCAACAATTTTCTTTTTCACTTCTAATAATTGGGTACTTCGACTTTTTCCTGTAAGGACTGTGCTCATAAAACATTTATTATAGTGTGTAACCCAGACTGTCATATTTGCTAAACCTGACCATCTGTCTGAAAACAGACAATTTTTCTAGTCAATTAGCACACCAGCCGTTTTAACTATCCATGTCATTCGTCGATTGTAGTCTTGTGTAATATAATAAAAAGATTGGGGATACGGTGTAGTAGTGGTACATTCTTAAGAAGATGAAAATAAAATTGCTCTTAGAGTTATGTATAACTTAAAATAACAGGCTTTGTGGTTTATCTTACGATTACAAAGTTATCACCGTGTTTCTTCTTGAATGACAGTGCTTCATGTTATAGATCATAACATTTTTTAAAAAAAACGGGAAAGCAGGGTGTGGGATGTTGTATGCTTGCTAGGAGCTGTTGGAGCCTGTCAGTTACAGTAGCTGTGACAACACCTAGTGCTGTCAGAGTGGATCAGACAGCCTGTTCTCTGCAGCAGACACCACTGCATCTGAGCACAGCCAGGAGCCAGAGCCTAGGCCGTCGGCAACCCCATAGATGTGATAGGGATGGACGGCAACTGTCACCTTAAAGAGCTTTGAAAACTATTTCCTTGGAAGGTAGCTGTGTAGGAGCAGCTGTGTGATGCATCCGCAAAATGTCGTCCGATGGGCTATCTGCTGGGGCCAGGAGCCAAAGCTGACAGAGTGAGGAAGACAGAGAAATTGTTGGGAGACAGAGAATTGACCTCTGAGTTCCGTCTCTGGCAGAAGCATTTCTGTTCTTGTAAGGAGATGCTTGGAGGTCGCTTCATAAGTTTGGAAAGAAGAGCTATTTTTGTCGCAGTATTTGTGCCATTGGCAGGTTTATTTTCAAAGATGAATGTACTGTGTAAGGAACTCCACTCCACCGGTTAGCTGTGGCGATCAAGCTCTACATTGTCTTTTGTGTTTCTGAGTGGTAGAAGCTTCCTTGTGCATCCATCAATAATAAACGCATATATAGAACAGTGTGGTGTGAAAACTTGTAAACTTCTGTAAAGTGCAGCACTGTGAAATGTCTTTTGTTTAATTTAATGCATGTATTCATCATGGTTATGTTGTTTACGTGTACAGTATGGCTGCATTTACATTTCTTCATTTTTAATTGTTTTTCACAAAATATAAACACTATTTACTGTTATTTCCTGTAATTTGAAAAATATTATCAGGGTCCATGTTTCTCAAAACAATGTTCACACCCTTCCAGTGCTGTATTTGTATTACAAGAAGACCTTAGAGCAGTCTCCCTGTTGTTCATCTTCCAGCTGTTCTTTTAGCAATAGTCAATGCAGCCTGAAAGCAGGTATAGTGTATCTCTTGAAGAGACGTAGCATGCTCTTTGCTGCTGTGTATGAATGCTGACATCAGACGTATATATGCTTGCTATATTGATTTTTTTTAGTTGTAGTACTTGACCATCAATGTGGCTTCAGTTCAGGACAAATCTGGCATATTGTTGAGGTCAGAATTTCCCAGCTGTAGTCCTGAGCTTATTTATTCTTATTAAATCAAACCAACTTCTTAAGGGTACATCAGTAGAATCCTGCACCCAGGATTTGAGCTATCATCAATCCAGTTGCAATACATGTATTAGGCCCCACCTGTTAAAAAAAATTAAGGACCCAAAATCTTGGGATTCTTGCCTTTCTGTAGGATTTGGTTTGGAAAGCAGTAATATTCATCATGCACACTGCTTGTAGGAAACACTGTACTGTTTCACATTAATAACTCTCTTGTGTCACTATTCTGTTGGAAATCAGTGTGAACTGAACACAAGTATCCTTTCAGATTGTGCACTATACAGAATATTACAGTGCAATTTAAGGGAAACATTTGGTGATTTCTGTCTTCCCTCAGTGATGGTTATCTCCTGTTCATTTCCTCAGTGCTGACTTTCAACAGGCAGCCCTTACACAGGGGATCCATTGTAATTCTGCCATTGGTGTCTCATTTGTTTTCTCCCCAGATAACTTATTCATCGAGCCTATTGGAAAATAATGTGGCTCCAGTATATGCTTCACTTTCAAAACATAATTAAAATAGTTGCTGGCAACTCCATCAATTTGGTGTTTGTAAAGAGGAGATACAGTATGCTTGTGCATTTTGAATTCCTCGTTGAACGAATTATGTCCAGGTAACTAGACGGCTATTTACAGATGGCAGGTCTGAGAATAAAATACTGTAAACCGTACCAATAATATCTAATTTTTTGCATAAAATATAGAAATAAATTTAACATCACTGGTACAGTGTTCTTGGTACAATGGGTGCTTTCTTCACCAGATTACCCACCAAGATCTGACACCAGGTTAATCTGGTTCATATAGTTAGAGGACTGTCATTCTCAAACCAGCCTGTTTAAACAACCCACTGAAATCTGCCATTAGCTATTCTAAAATGCTAAGAATTTAAAAGCAAGCATATGGAAATAGCTGTCATTCACGTCTCTGCTGAGAGCAAAACATATTATTGATTAAAACTGCTGATATGTTACTACACTTTTCTGGGACCCCAAACAGTTCCTCTCGGGAGTTCACAGAGGACATGGACCCCAGGTTGATATCCATTGGTCTGGATCACTGTGTTATTCGAGATTTTATTACGGCTTTGTCTTGGCTAGAATGAGAAACTGCAATCGAGTACTGAGGCAAATATTTAACACAGGCCTCCAGAGGTGACATTATAAAAGGAGGAAAGCAACCTCTATTACACTCATCCTCTTGCGGTTTATGTTTCATTAATATCAAGCACTCATATGTCTCTGTACTGGACTGGAGGAAACCTTTTGACCTTGATTGGCCTAGATTTGAAGTCTTAGCGGATCTGTCTGTGGTGCATGTGAATTCTTTTTAAATACGTTGTCAGGAGTCATCACTGTCTGGTGCTTCAAAGCATTGTAAGACGTCCTTTGTAAGATACGAGGAAAAGGTAAGGGTGTCAATACCAAGACCCCTGTGCTACTGTGCCAGTGCAACACTCCTGGGCACACTCAGATTTCACTTTATGGGTTTTGCTCTTATAGTTTCCTTTCTGTGTTCAATGTTTAGGCAAACCCTTTAAGCCTGGGACATTTGAAATAGGTTCATGCTCAAGTGTCAGAGTACATGTACCGAAATTCAACAGTAAAAAAATACCTCTTTCTCAACCTCCTTTCTTTTAGAGCCCATTTTTAAGAGTACTCTCTTATCTAGCTAGACGAGATAGAGCTGAGGTTCTCATACACTGGTTACTCCCAGTAAGTCTTTCACTGTCAGCTGGGGAAAAAAAACAGCAGCCTCTCCCTTTTAGATGAGCCACAATCGTTAGCCTTCATCCCCTGAAAAAGGTCGATATTGGGCGGGTGAAGGGCTGTATGTGGCTGTATGTGGTTCCCATTAGCAACTAGCCTCTGTGTTTTGGTCACTTCTGGATTTGAAATTAGAGAGTGGGGTTTTACTTTCCATATAACTGGATCATAAATGCTCACTGCATCAAGAACCTACAATTGTCACTTCAGCCCAGCTTCCATACAATGGAAGCTTGAGGTCAAGTAATGGAAAGAAATATGCTCATTTATTGTTGTAAATATATTTTTTGCTTTATATTAGACCATTGTTTTTAGTCATCCTTTTTCCTTTTAGATACGTTCTTTAACGTAGCTGCATAACCACTAACCACTCTCTTATCTCCCTTCTGGAATGACAGATATACTTGTTACAGAACATTCGAGCGTTTGAGAGAGACAAAGCATTTTGACAATTTACACATGCATCATACGACTCTTGAGAAGCCACAAAGCAATTCCTTCAGTGATTCACATAGCTGATTGTTATGTAAGTGAGTCAGTGGGTTCATGATGGTGAGGAGGCCTGATTCTTGTAGCATTTGTCCCTTTTGAAATTTCATGCTCCTTTATGATTGTTTTATGCTATTTGAGTTTCGACATAGATTCCGTTCCAGATGTGCTAGCAAAAGCTTTTGAACATATACTGTAAGGATGTTGTTTTGTTTGCCCTTGGTGGTTGTTTCAGAAGATCTGCTCTTTTCCTTAAACACTAGCTTGACATCTCAGTGGTTCAAGATGGGTTTGTGAGAAATTAGAAAGTAGAATAGATCAGCATTCATGCACTGGATTATCACGCATTTTGTATGAAGACGTTCTCCCTACAGTGTGGTTAAAAAAATA